GGGGGGGGGGGGGGCGGTTGACAGAATGGCACTGCTCACCGCAGTGAGGAGCGATCAGTACGGCGGGCCAGCCTATTCACTAGACAGGAAAGGGAGTTTTACTTCACTTCAAAGTATAAGCAATAATCCTATTGTTTACCATCTGCCCCACTATTATGATACCTGTGGTACAAGGATAAGAAATTAAAATCAGAGATACCTTAATAAGCCCTGCTTCAGACCCATCTCGGTCAAAGGTCTGACGGGCTTTAGCTATGGCCAGGATGACCCCTTGCATGGCAGGGCTCAGCATCACCTACCACAGGAGGGCACAAAACACAGAGAAAAAGCAGAGAAGAAAGGATCAAAGGAAGAGTGTATGAGACAGGTGAGCAGACTGCTGAAGGAAGTGGGAGGGCTGCTCCTCAGTCAGCACCTACTGCAGCCCAAGTTCCACACTCCCACTCCCGTGCACACTTACGGCACTGCCCCTCCACACAATGCCAAGTTCCACACACCCACTGCTATTTATACTTACAGCCCAAGACATGCCATTTCTACATATTCTCTGTAATGCACAGATGAATAAGTGTGTGTGTCTAAAACCACCTATGATGGCACTGCTGCAGAACCGAGTTAAAGTAGAGCTCTCAGTGGGGATGCGTCTGAGAACTCCAATTCAGTTCTATAGTTTGGGTGTATATCCTAACACACAAACATGTTAGACCTTTACTGGGACAAACAGGACATTTAAAACAGGAACTAGGGGATGCACAGATATGACTTCATAAAATGAAAACCTTTCAATGATTTAAACATAGCTCTCATAGGACAAAACAAATCTGAGAGACAGGATTCCTGAGTTTATGTGCAGTGACCACTGTAAGGAGCTCCACCACTGGGATTCTGCAGCTTCATCCCGAAGCTTTAGAATTAAAAACAACTCCAATCTACATTTGTTTGGCTCACTAGACATCTGAAAATTTTACACTTGGAGGAAAACAATTAACTAATACTACCAAAGACAAAGACTCCTGACTTAAAAGGCAATTTTTGTTCCTAACACCAAACAAGGGACTAGATTCTGTCTCTCTGAGCCCTCTAAACTCTGCAGTGGCCCCATGAATACACGCCTGGGTAGACATACTGAAGCAGTAGACAGCGGGAACAGGCTCTTTTTAAAAGCAGTAACTAAGGTCAAACCAGATTAGGCCTCTTGTCCATTGTTTCAATAAGAAAATATTACACATCGTCAAACACCTCTGAGTACATTCAGTGACATGCGGGGTAAGACTGACAACAAGCAGCTCAGCCTCGTGCTCTGCTATACCTCCTCATCATATCCGTCTGCATGCGATCTAACCAGAATCCTTCCCACACTGGGAATCTCCACTTCAGAAACCTCAGAGTGAGGCGGGGCAGCAGGCTCGGCATCGGGAGCCTCTGGGGGCTGCTCTGACTGCTCTGCCAGGTCTGTTTCCGGGGGCAGGGGCTTCCTGGGTTCAGCTTCCTTGGGCTGCAGCAGCAGAATGGAGAGAATGAGTACGAAAAAAATGGAGAAATAAAGGGGTTGGTCAAATGCAGCAGAGACACACAATGACGGAAAAGTGAGAGAGCTGTGGGAATGACGCGGAAAGCCCGCCCTCTAGTGGGCTTCCTCAGTCACGCACCTCACTCAGGGCTGCTTCCACACCACCCTTCTCGTAGGCATGTGCAGTGTTGGCGATGGCCTGCGCGGTCTGCTCCTTGGCGATCACGGCATGCTCAGAGGACAAGCAGCGAGCCCCATGCGAAGGGGCTACTAAAGGCTCTGAGAAAGAATTATACAAAAGAATTAGCATTGTATAAGTAATGTCTAGAACACTCTATAAGGCAAGCAGGATGGATGCAAAGTTTAATATACAACCTTTCTAACAAACCTTTTTAAAAAAATCTATGTTTCCCTTGGAAACTGTGACTAGAAAAAATGGGGCTAATTCAGAAAACCCCCATTGATGATCCTGTAAAATTTAACATGCTCCCAACTTGGTCATATTCCTTTATGCCAAGACGGCCTCCTACAAACAACCATCTGTTAGGAAGATAGCCTTTTTTTAATAAGAAATTTTTATGTACATATTTTTAAAGTTCTTGAGGTTTCACATGTTAACATCTGCACACAGCATTACAATTAATGCTGTTATAAATTCTTTTTTTATTAAATTTATAGGGGTAACACTGGTTAACAACATCAAATTTTAGGCATACAAGATTATAACTGGACACCTGTGTACTCTATTGCGTGCTCCCCACCCAAAGTCTAGTTTCCTTCCATTACCATGCATTTGACCTGGTGGAAGTTGACCTTTGAAGAATCGTTTTCATGAGGTCTACCTATTAATCCTGTCCTAATTACTCCTACAACCTGGGAAATAAGCAAAAGCTAAACAGAGTAAAGGTGGTACAGGTAGCCAGCCTTTCTGCTATTACTTCTACTCATCAGAAGTCATGTTCTGAAGCCACGGTTATCCCATCATGTTTTGCAATACTGGCTCTATTTGAACTGCACTGCAGCTGCAGACAGAGGCTTCGCCCGTCAGATGAAGCGCACAGGGCTGGCTGAAGGAGAGCAGCGTGCACACACCAGATCAAGCCTTCTCGATACCTTGTGACGTAGACAGATCCTGTGATGCTGAGGTGGCTTCCATCTGAGGAATTTTACAAGACTGCTCTTCTTCCCACTCCTCCACTTCCTGTTCAAATCTCCAGTTATCTTCCTGAATGTAATGCTTAAGTTCAACAGATAAGGCTTCCAACTCTTCTAACATCTGATCTGATTCATTTGGGGTTGCTTCTGAGAAAAAACAAAGATGGAGAAATCAAAAGGTCCTTCCTAATAAAAACTACATACACACAGACATAAGCCATCACCAGTATTGACAAGATAAGGCCAACAGTCAGAGCACATCAGTAACAGTGCCTGGCGTATTAGTAGGTAGACTCGCACTGAATATCTGTAGGTAGGTAGGTAGGTAGGAAGGAAGGAGGGAAGGAGGGAAGGAGGGAAGGAGGGAAGGAGGGAAGGAGGGAAGGAGGGAAGGAGGGAAGGAGGGAAGGAGGGAAGGAAGATAAGGATTTGGAATAGAGGCCAATTACTGGCAAAATAATAAGAATGGACCAAACATTTCATGGAAATTCAGAAAAATCATTAGATCCAATGTAAATTTCAAACACAAATAATTTTGTCAATGTAACCACTGCATCTATTATTGATAAGATCTATCTCAAGATGATTAGAGATGAATTCCAAGGCATTTATGGCGTCTCAAGTTCGATGTAATTAAGTGCTATCAAAAAGCAACTTGATACAACAGTTAGATGATCAGTAATACCTGGTTCATTAAAAGTTATGATGAAAAATGGCAGGGTATCAAGGACATATTAAATTTCATTTCTAACCCTTTTTTGTTTTGACCAAAACAAAACAAAACAAAAACCTCCAGAATAACACATTCATGTACTGGTCGCCATTAACTAGTCTTTTTACTAAGCAAATGACAGTTTCCACTTGTTTGTTTCTAGAATATAAAAATGAGCCATATGTGTAACACCGAGGCTCCTATATACCAACTGCCCGTATAGGCATTTATACAGTAACTCCACAAGCAGCTGTCCCTGCTTTTACACTGCAAATATGCAATTATGAAGATTGATTACTGTAGGTGATCATTCCTTCCTCCCTCCCCCAATCTCATTAGCAAGTCAGAAAGACAAGGTGCTGTCTAGACCCAATGCCTGATGCATTTTCTTACCAGTGCAACAGTCAAGTGTGAATAGCGAAATAAAAAGCCCCCTACGATCTTAGATGTGAAATGCTGGCCATGAGACCTCTCAGAGAAGATGCGAAAGGAAGAGAGAATAACGTAAATGGAAAACAGCACAGAATTTGGAGTCAGAACTGGATTTGAATCGTGCACCTGCCATTTATTTACTGGAAACCTAGAGAACCTCGGCTGGAAAATGTAGTAAGAATTCCTACCCCGCCTACCTCCCTTTTAAAGCTATAAAAACTGAAAGCATGCAGTAAGGAGTAAAGTACCAATAGAAATGATAAGTACGACTGCTCTTAGCATTAGTAAAAGTATTATGAGAAGTATAAAATTATTCTGGCCAAACCACTTACAAAATTTAGCTATTTTTCAAAGGGCACAAAATGTTATGAAAAAGAAAAAAACTAGAGACAACTTAAAAGTCTATCAATGAGCCCGGCCGGGTGTGGCTCAGCGGTTGAGCATCAACCTAGGATCCAGGCTATCGGGGTTCGATTCCCGGTCAGGGCACATGCCCGGTGCAGGCTCGATCAATGACACTCTCATCATTGATGTTTCTATCTCTCTCTCTCCCTCTCCTTTCCTCTCTCTGAAATCAATAAAGATATATTTAAAAAAAAAAAAAGTCTATCAATGAGAGGCTGGTTTAATAAATTATATATATATATATGTTCATTCATTCCATACAATGAAATTATATGGAGTTGTTAAAAAGAAAGAGCCCTGGCTGAGTGGCTCAGTTAGTTGGAGCATCATCCTATGCACCAAAAGAGAGTGGTTTGATTCCCAGTCAGGGCACATACCCAGGTTGAGGGTTTGATCCCTGGTCAGGGGGCATAAGAGAGGCAATCAATCAATGTTTCTCTCTCAAAAGAAAAAAAAAAAATCAATAAAAACATATCCTCAGGTGAGGACTAAAATAAAATAAAGAATGAATTGATTTTATTTATGACAATATAGAGGTCACTAAGATCCATAACTAATGAAAAAGATGCAGAACAGAATGGAAAATATCCATTTGGGGGAAACATGGGATGAGGAGAGATGCCAACAAGTAAATGCAGCACCTGCACAGAGCAGGTTTTGAACACTGCGTAAGAAACCTGACAATGGTTACTTGTTGGGCTCAACGATGGACGCCGGAGAGCAAACTTATTTTTCCTCTTCTTTCTCTTTTGCACTGTTTGTATTTTTAAAAATTCATTATTACTTTATAATAAAGTCTAGGGTAAAAATTATTTTAAACTATGAAGACTGTTCCCCCTTCCCTGAGCAGTAAAGATTTCCCCCATCTCTGGCTCCTGCGAAGATATTTTTACCTGCATTGAAGTGGGGTAGCTTGTCGTTAATGTACATCAGACAGTAAGCACTAACATTTCTCAGGCCTCCATAGGAATCTCTTTCAAGTTCTTCCCAGGAAGATTCGGTCACAGAGATGTCGTTGTACTTGAGCCAGACTTGCCGGGGCTGATTATAGATATAGGCCCAGTAGTGTCCAGCATTTGCTTGTCCTTCATGAACAAGCACCGCGTGCAAGCGATAAGGCACCTACAAATCAGAAAGCACATTTCTGAGCGAGAGTCAACAGAGTAATCTGGCAAAGTTTAGGATATTAAAATTCAAGATCATTCCCAACTATCAGACATAAGAAAAGTATGCATGTGTTTGTTACAGGTTCACATCAAAACATCTTGATGATTCAGGATGAACAAACAAAAACACAGCCTTGGAGTCTAACAATTATGTCTCAGTTTCTGAATCTTTAAAACCAGACAAATGAACTAGATAACCTCCTCTGAGACCTCGTTCAACTCTAAACTCTTATGATTATAGATCTAAAATCAAAGATAACTAGACCTATTTATTCTCCCAATTCCAAACCAGTTTGTCTAAAAATAGAATCACCTTGACCATTACGCAGAGAAAATGCTTCCGACATTTGGGACCAACATCAAGTTTAGGGGCCACATTATTCTGTGTCTATTTTATTTGGTATCAACATTTAAGTTAGTATATTTCATTATGAATCAGTCACATGGTCCCTATATTTCTTCTTGTAACTGTTCACCTATCTGGGGTGAAGGCCATTTTAACTACATACTTGTTTGTTTCAACATTTGAGAGGCATTTCTTATTTACGCAGAAAATAAGTGCTAAGTAACTACTGGTGGAAAAAAGTAAAGTCAGCCATAGAATCAAGTTAAACTTACTTTTAATCAGTACCTTGACATGTTTTTACTGATGGAGAAATTTTTGAAATAGTACAAAAGAGAAAATGGGGGGAAACCAAGATTTACATGATGCATTCCTGCCATGCAACAGAACCATGTCTCCAGCCAACCCTGAGACAGCTCTTCTCCTCTGGTCACTAAGAGGTCATGCCCCTAACTGGAACCTCTCTTCCCCTCCATGTCCAGAATGTGATTCTAAACAAAACTTTATGTGGACAATGAGAATTTCTGCCCTGCATCCCTCCCTTTTAGAGTCACAGGAGAAACCAACCTTGAAAGCATGCTCGTAAACAAAGGACCAAGGTACTTTGGAAGGATAGGTAACTGGTCCCTAGTTCAGGTTTCCCCATTGCACTACTTAAATTACTATTGTGTGAGAAATTTTTATTAATATTTGATAGAAAATCTTTCTAATATACCAAAAAATTACATGTGGCAGAATCAAAATTAGTATATTTTGGGCTCTACTTGTGGCAGAAGATATATTGGGTTTTAGCCTAAAATAATAAAAAAAAAGAACACCATCAATTTCTTCCCTAAGTTTATTCTTATATCACAGGGAGGTTCCCATTTAGTTTCAAAGAAAACCATGCAATGTCCTTATTCTAACCCACCACTAGAATACGCCTTGACTACATTCCCATCGATTCACTCTACCTGGCGAAGGAGGGGGTCACAGTACATCTGCTCAATAGTCTGGGTAGTGCTTGCAATACAATTCTTTAAATCTGTCAACAAGAGAAGACTTAGTTAAAATGATTTCACTCCACATCACAGAAGTGCTTCAACTATGCAAAGAGCACTGTGCCAGGGTTCTGGTGACTTCGACCCCATTCAATGAACTGCGAAAGACAGTCTTAAAGCAGCTAGTGCTTCAGGTTAGGAAGGCTGTTAGTCTAATATAATTACATTAAGATTTTTGAAAAATTATCTCTTATAATTAGCACCAAAATTTCTTAAAGAAGAAAGAGCCTACTTAGAAAAAAATCTTAATGGCTCACTTGGGTACAAAATAAATGTCCCAGAGACAAGACCTGAAAGAAGGTGGCAGAGCAAGGCAGGGCTAAATTTCTGTAAGAACCTGGGAAGAATGTGAATTTTTACTTTTATTTTTTGCTCCCCAGATAAAAGGAGAAAGTAGGGGAGGAAGAAAAGCCTGAGTAACATGACCATGAGGCTATACAGAAAAATCCCAACCAAAGGTGATCATGAATGTCTGAGCTATCCCGGAAGCCCAGAAATGTTGAGGAGGGAATCCAAGAGGGGTCTTCCCACAGCTGTATAATGGGAGTCTGTGACTCAATATTACAGGGGACTAAAGGAAGAAGTCACAATTCCCATGCCAAGACTCAACAAGTATACGACAATGGCAGCAAGCATACCCAAGGTGCTAAACTTCCAAATATTCAAACAAACAGAAGGCAAAGAGTAGCTGTTTGACAAGTCTTAAAAGAGCCAACCTTGTATATCTTGTTCAATCTCACTCCTCCACCTCTGGAGACAGGTCTTAACGAAGTGGATCTCCTCTTCTGTGACTGCTCGAGGAGCTGGGTGTGCAGGCATTTCCACACAAGACCGGGAAGATGGAAGTGGTGTATTCACCATCTTAGACTTGTGTAGACAATCTTCAGGAAAGGTACTTTCAACGTCCTGAGAAGAGCTTTCTTTACTTGTACTGAAGGAAGACGACACATCATGCTCACATGATAATTTCCAAAGCACGCTTTGGCCTGAACTAACGTGCTCTGCAAGCAAGCGGCTATGTGGCAAAGTACAGCTGCAAGCAGGCGAGTATTCCCTCTGCTCAGGTGCTGAGCCCGATCTTTCCTTTACATGCATCATCTAGTTTAGCACAACTTGCTTATGAGACAGACACTAGTACTACACAGATACAATCCCTATTAAGCAATTACGAAGCTAAGGTTTAGGAAAATTGAGGAACTTGCCAAGTTCATCCAGCTAGTAAACGATGAAGTGATATTAAACCCAGATCTGCCTGAGTCTACGGCTAATGCTCTCCCCACTTGTTATAATGCCTTCTCATGAAGGAGGGAGGGGAGAGAACACAGAGAAGGGAAGATGGGGGCTGGGAGAAGCGAGGAATCAACTGCAGTTTCCAAGATGCAACTGACTAAAGTGGGATGGACGGACGAACCAGGAAAAAAATATATAGAGCAAGAAAAATGAAGTACCAGCTGAACATCTAAGTCACAGGAATACAAACTAGGTGGCATCCTGGGAAAATAATGGGGGGACTCAAAGGCAGACCAGCTCTACCACTCCTTAGTTAAATACCCAAGGAAGAGTTAGTAGCCTTGGGTAAGTAATCTAATACTCAGCTCTAAATGTAAACATTAACTTCTTTACTCGATTGCCCTAAACTGAGAATAAAGTATGTAAAGTAAACATTAATTTATCTACTAATTAACTATTGTCAAACTACACAAAGACAAACCAGCAGGAATATAAACTAAGCTTCTAATTGTACTTAGGTTTCTGTTTCACATCAAAACTGAAGAATAGCCTGGCCAGCGTAGCTCAGTGGCTGAGCGTCAACCAAGGATCCAGGAGATCTGGGTTCGATTCTTGGTCAGGGCACATGCTTGGGTTTCAGGCTCGATCCCCAGTAGGGGGCATGTAGGAGGCAGCCGATCAAAGATTCTCTCTCATCATTGATGTTTCTATCTCTCTTTGAAACATTAGAGATGATTCCTCTCTCTGAAATGAAAACATTTTTTAAAAAAACAAACTGAAGATCGTAAACTTCCTGCAGCTTTGACTTAAAGAAACCCTCACTCCCTACTCTTACCACTTGCTCTCTCACACACACAAAATAATGGAGAAAGCCTCTTCCCCAAGGAACAGTATATATGGAAAAATACGCCAGTATAAGCAAGAGAGCAGATATCTCAATCTCAGGAGAGAGCACACACATAGAGTAACTTTAAAATCTAATACCATGCAGTAGGCAGTATTATTGTATGTGATTAAACAGATTGCCCAACCACTTTTTAAAAATTAAAACGATTGATATTTCATAAAGAACATGAAACTATTCTATATAAAGTCCAAACACACGAATATAGACGGGAAAAGACTCCTCCATCCCTTGACTCCTGCCACCCCTGAGGTACGCATTTCTATGCATACATGGATGAATGAATATTAATATGGAGGAGGTTGGGGAAATAGGTGGGCCTTTTAAAACATAAAAACTTAACCTTTTTAGTCAGTAACCAGGAGGCCACAGGGTTGGGTGGGAGCTTCTGGCTGCTGTGGCTGGGAGGACCCCCCCCAGCTCCCCACTCCCCCTGCAGGTGCCATGCACTCTCCCTGGGAGCTGCTGCATGAGTGGAAATGCAATGATGGAGAATGGACTGGACCCCCCAGCTGCCATCCCAGTCATCAAGAAAAAGCTAGTGGGATCCCTGAAGGTGGTGCAAAAGCAGTAAGTGTCCTCGAACACAGTGGTCACCAGCAAAGAAAGATGCCAACACCACACGCAGCACCCTGGAGGCCGTGTTTATCCACGAAACTGCAGGATAAGCACTTTCAAGCCGAGGCCAGGGGTGGGGCAGGAGAAGCCTCTGCCGCAGCCTGAAGCCTCTGCCGCAGCCTAGCTTCTGGCCCCTCCTGAAAGCTGTCACCCAAAAACATCATCTGGGAATTGGAGTATCTTATCTCTTTCAGCAGGGATGTGGGCCACTGCTGCACCCAGCTGTGGCCGGCCCTCAACGATGGCCTGATGGAGTGCACACTACCTGGCAGTGTGAGTACTACCAGCCTACCACCTGCTTGGTGATGCCCAGGAGGGCAAGTTCTTCAGCTTCCTGCAGGGAATAACTTGTGGCCTCTTCTACAAGTCCACCACTTTAAAAAAGTGGACACTCGCCCACTCTCTGAGCTCAACCATCACCACCTCAGGTGCATAACTACAGGGGAAGGAGCCTCTGGATTCCATTCCCCATTCCTCAGGCTCAAATGACGTGGAAGGCCAGCTCTAGGGCCATAAGATCCGATGAAGCAGGCAGCTCACTGCCCTCTCCCTCCACCTGACATTCCAGTTCATCCCTCTGTCCTACAGCCTAGACTCTGACAGCCACCTACTCCAAGAGAATGGTTCCAGGAGTCCAGATTGTTCTGAGGGGCCCATGTCATACGACTCAAACCTGGGACAGAAAATGCTGATGATTCGGACTCATCTCTGCAGGTGTTGTCAGAGTTCAGCAAAGCCCAGGTAAACTCGCTGTCAACCAGCGGACTGAGTCGAGAGACTGAGGCTCCCATGCTGCAGGCCTCCCTCTCCCTCTACAGCCCCGGCCTCCATACCACACACACCTGCACTTCCCTGTGCCTCAGCGCCTGGCCCTGCCCAAGCAGCCTCTGGGACTCCGGATGGTGGCCACAAGCAGGAGCCACTTTCCCAGGCACCTGGCATCCTGGGCCTGCAGCATCAGGCACTGCCCAAGCTGTCACTAGGGAGTACATCAGACAGCAGCCTTCTACTCCTGTGACAGCAGTCAGCAAGGAGGGGGCGGGCCGCAGAAAGAAGCCTGTGGTGGGTGACGGAGCTGGACTGAGCCTCGGCCATTCTCACCCTCCAGTCCGAAAAGCAAGACCTGGATCTCAGAGGAAGACTCGCCAGCTTTCCCAGGAACGAATGATCCCAGAGAGGCTTCAGACCACTCCGTGGCTTCTTCCAGAGGGGCTCCAGAGTCCAGGCCTGGTCTCCTCAGGCATTTTTCTCAAGGACCGAGGAAAAGCTCCTCCACGGGGGCCTCAGAAAGCTTGTGTGCCTTTTCCAGGAGGCAGGAAAAGCCAGGCAGCCGTGGTGCAGGAGCACCAGAGCCCCAGGGTGGTGCACCGCAGGCGATGGGGAGGGACTGCAGAGTTCCTTCTGGTGGTTCTGAGGGCTTCTTTTCCATTACCAACTGGGTGCTGCCTTCTCAAAAGAAAACCCTCCTCTCGACATGTAATAAGGAACACACTTGCTGAGTAACTCAGGAAAGCACTGCAGGACAAGTACTATATTTTCTCAGGCAATCTTGAAAACCAATGCCCAAAACTGCCTACAGAGTGCAAAGTTTCACATAATGAAATGGAAAATATTTTCCCTGGAACCACCCTATAAACCTTATTACACAGAATTCTTGATTCTGTCTGTGGCCCAGAGCAAACCCTGCCTTGCCTCTTGAAGGCCCGTGGTTTCAAGTGCTCCTTCCCAAGGCCTCTATCTCACTCAGGTGGTTTATCTATCAGCTGTTTGTTTAGTGTCCTCCATGTACTGTTTACGAGGCCAGCTTGATCCCCACCCTGGGGAAATCCAGAACAGGTTAAATAACCATAACTGAATTTTTCTGCAATCCTCATAAATGGCTTCCTTTTTCAAACAAAAATGTATTCCCTGGAGTCAGTCTTTCTCTCATTTCCTGTTTGCAGTGACCCAGCAGAGAATTCCAGCCATGCTTCTGGAACCCTGGCTTGGGAGCACGGGTAGAGCCCTGGTCTCCATGCTGGCTCCTTTAGGTGCTTCTGTCAGCCCGTGGACGGTGGTAACCATGCTGGAGGAGGTGTGCTTGGTACCTAGGTCGTCAGGGATCCCTGAAGAGGAGGAAGACCCTCTACAATGGTTTGAAATCTCCAAGGCTGGTCCAGGTTGGGAGAGAGAATTGTGTGTCCTTTGCATGTCCTAGTTGGTGGCAGACCCCCAGGAGGAGGGAGCATTCATTGAGCAGTGTGTGGCACATGGGCACTTACTCATTCAGCAAATATTTAAGCACTTGTGCTGTGCCAGGTGCTGGGGACACAGCAGGAAACAAAACAAAGTCCGAGCTTCCTGGGACTCAGAAAACTAATGAGTAAACATATGGTACAGGCAGGTGATCACAACTGCTATGGAGAAAAGTAAATCTGGGAGCGCTAGGTTGGGGAGTGTGCTGGATGGCCCAGGGAGCCCCACATACCAGGTGACACCTGAGGAGATGTGAAGGGAGAGAGGAAGACACAAGCCGAGCTCTGTGGTTCAAGCAGGAAGACCAAATGCAAACTCTGCCAAGAGAACAGCTGACACATCCAGGAAATGGTAGAGAACAGAGTAGCTGGAATAGGATGGAAGGAGGCAGAGTGCGACCACAGTGATGAGGGCCTGTGGGCCACAGAAAGGACGCCGACTTTTGTGCTGAGGGAGACAGCAGCCTCTGGCTTCAGGCAGAGACATGATCTGACATGTTTTAAATGGGGATTCATTCTGGCTCATATGTTGAGACTACAGGGAGAGAGACCAATTAGGAGGCTACTGCCATAACCCAGGCCAGGGATGTCAGTGGACTGAACCCGTGAGGTGGTGAGAAGTGGAAGATTCTGGATACGCCAACAGGATGTGCTGATGGATTCGATGTGTGGTACAAAAGATAATCAAAGATAACTCCTTATCCCTACCCTACCCACGACGTGCACACACAGCAGCATCGCTGCTCCACTGCAAACACAGCCTGATCAGAGCCTGAACTGCTCCAGATGCCAGAGTGGGCAGTGCCACCTGGGCCTGACCCCATTTCCTGGGGCCTGAGTATATTCTATATTCCAGAAGGTGTCCTTGGAGTTGGCAGGAGTGCAGCCCTGGAGACTCTCAGTTCAGTCTACCCCTGCTCCCCAGAGATCAGCAGCATTAGACCTGACCCTCTCCCCATCACCCACAGCTGCTGATGCTTTCAGATGAGCTGACTTTTACCCTCACCTCCGATGGAAAACTGATGTGAACCTCAACGGTGGCGACACTATTTTTTTTTTCAAATATGTCTTTATTGATTTCAGAGAGGAAGGGAGAGGGAGAGAGAGAGAAACATCAATGATGAGAGAGTCATTGATCGGCTGCCTCCTGCACGCTCTATGCTGGGGATCGAGCCCACAACCCAGGTATGTTCCCTGACTGGGAATTGAACCCTGATCTCCTGGATCCTAGGTCAATGCTCAACTGCTGAGCCACACTAGCCAGGCACCACACTATTATGATGTCATTTTATGCAATAAACTGTCCACACTGTGGGGAACCTGCTGCTGTGTGATGTTTAAGTGATCTCGCAGTAAAGACCTGATCTTTCTTAAATAAATAAATAATCTAACCTTTTAAAATAGTTCCTAGTGTTTTGTTTTGTTTTTTTAGTTAGGACACATATACCAAATTTAATCTGAGCTGACCTTAGTGGTTCCTCCAGGCTGCAAAGGTTGCTGCCTGTGGCTGGGCCAGAGCACAACCAGAGGGCTCCTGAGCCTTGGCCTTCCTGTTTCTTCACTGGATAAGCCCCTCCAGGTTGTCCTCTTCCTCTGCTAGCCAGTTCTTTTCATGTTTTAGTTTTTTATTTAAGAATAAGTCTCTTTCCTTGCTGTTTCCTTAGTCGTGTGTACTTTCAGGAGGAAGAGTAAGATGTCTAGAAAAGCATGTTTCCTCTTAGAAAGACCTCTGGTAGCAGCTGGATAATAGGGAGCTCAAAATGAGGCTGCCCTGGTGCAGAATGACCACTATTCCAGACAGTTCAGGAAGCCTCCAAAATAACCCCAACCCTCCTGTAAGCAGGTGAGTGTACTGGTGGGAATCAGGAACATTTTCCCAAGTGACAGCTAGCAAAATCCTTCCCTTTAAGACAAAAAGCTCACAGACCTCAAGCTCATATGGGGTGAGTGCTAATCAGATGGAAAGAGAGTGCACAGTTCAAATTAAACAACAATAAATATATATATATACTTATACTATTTAAAGCATTTTTGTATTACCTTTCCTTGGCTGTCAGGTCAGAAACTGGGCAGTGCACTGGAGAAGGTGGTGATGTCATGCTTGTGTCACTCTGAGACGGAGAACTTTCTGAGGCAGGTTTTGTACTAGCAAATTCAATAACGTATTTCAACATGTCTGGGAGTGGGAACTGAGCTGGGCCCGAGCCGTACTTCACATACCTAAGAGGCAAAGACAATGGTGCTCTATTGGCCATGTCTATCTTATATTTAGAGGCTTACTGACAAAAGATCTGTTATTATGTTCAGAGTCAATGAAAAGGCTATTTCTAAAGACTAAACAATATTTAATACATTATTCAAACAATCCATTGGGCAAAAAATCCCTAACTACAAAAGTAGTAAGTTTTAACAATCTAAATTTGTATACCTGGCAGAAAAATATTTCAAATGAACTCCTATTAAAAGTCATGCCAGTTATGCTTTCTCTTGGTATCATGTCACAATTAGGCTCTGGTCAGAAAAGTAAATGCTGTCTCTTGAAGGAAAATGAAAATATTACCAGTACTCAAATCTGAAAATAATCCTGGTGAACTAGTACCCAAGGATTTTTTCTTTGCTTCCCTTCAGATCAATCACTTAGCAATTTTAGGAAAAAAATGAAAGCTGAAAATGGGAAGTAGGTGTTGGTAAAGGTCAGAGTTTAAGAATACTGGCAAATCTTTCTTTTGTGGAGTTCTAAGTACCCTGTTACTCATACACTCAACAATAGCATAGCCCAGGCATAAATTATTAAAGATTTCTTTGGGATTAGTAAATAATACCTGAAATATGTAATCAAAATAACAAGTTATTTTAATAATACCCAATATTCTGCTACTACTAGCAGATGTTAGACTCAGTAAAGAAACTTACTTTAATGAATTCTACAGTTTACTATAGTAGACAGAGTTTGAATGGTACAATAATTAAGTTGACTGACTGGTACAGGTAAACTCTATAATTCTGAGATTCTATTTACAAAGGACAGAATCAATTCACATTTTTCTTCTCTGAATAAAGGGGGAAAAAAGAAACAGGTATAAAGCTAGGAAGAGGGAAAATTGTCTGTTTCTGTATGAAAAAGGACATTAGGAAATGAAAATACTAGTGGAAAGTAAGTATAGTGCTAAGTCAACAACATGTTAAAGGATACGTAGCTAAGACACTCCATCTTCACTAATTTAAAGGAGAAACAGCATGTTTTCTCCTGTGGGTCCGGACGCCAGAGAGTTACAGCTTTCATTAAAAAAGATGGTGAATATGTAAAGCTAGAGAAAACTTAAAGAACTGTTCTATTCCTTAAGATGCATTTCCTTGCCTTAATTTCAGCCATCTAAACTCAGCTTATCTAAACTCTTTCAAGACCTACTTTCTCCATGAAATCTTCCTCAATATGACATGCCCCCAACACTGGAATGAACATCTACTCTCCCTGAACTCCTACAGTGCACGAACTAAACCTGTCGTCTATCCCATAGTGTACTTCCTTAAGCCCTCAGTGTTTGCTGAATTAATACACAACTGGCCTGAACCAAAGGAAACAGTTTCTTACTGGCAATGTGGCACTGATAACCTGTCACAGGATTTTTAAGCCATCACTTTACACCTGTAACTCTTCGCAGGATTGCTGTATTTTAATGATATTCAAAATTTCAGGAAAAATTTTCCTCTAAGAAAGTCATCTTCAATTTTATGACGTAATTATTTTCCTGTTCTACCAAATTCCTTTCGACCAGCTACTTCATACAATGCAGTACCTGTATTAATTTAGTAAAATCAGAGCAAAGTAGTTTCAAAGATGTCTACACTGTGCATAACAAATCTTATTTTTAACTTTATATCAAGGTATCTTAGAGAAGAAATGGTGAACATTTTTTTTAATGATAAAAGTAATACAACCACCTGGTAGGAAAATTCAAATATAAAATAGTGTAAAACAAGCCATAAAAGTCACCCACCCCCATCTTAGTTCCACTACCTAATGGTATTCATTAAGTTTCTTGTATATTTTCCCAGGAGTATGTCACACACAGACAAGCAATTTTTAAAACATTATCCAAGTTAAGTGATCTGAAATTTAAAAAGTCATTTTATTTAAAAAAGAGTAGTATCACATTACAGAAAATGCTCCAATATGCTATTTTAAAATCTAAATATGCTAGAATGCCTTGTTGGTTACTGGTAAATTGAGTATTTTGAGCTATAATACATCAGGTATATTTGGCTCTAGGAAAACAATAAAAACTTTCTAGTCTTATGAAGTATCACCAAAACCTGAAAAGTTAAATACTGTTGCAAGTAGAGTCCTGTAAATCTCTTCCAGGACACTATTTAAGGAATCAATCCTCAGCTTAAGTCTATATTGACAAGTAGATAATCCATCACAATAGGTCTTGGGTAAGTTCTTCCTAAGTGAGGAGAGGAGGCTGGGGAAGGGAGACCTATAGGTGCTAGGTCTATCATGGGCTGGTATGCAGTGTTGCCTCTCAGGGAAATTAATGACCTAGCAACGGAGTGCATAGAGCTGGGGTGGTGGTAGCAGCAAAACTGATAAGCAGATAAAAGGGAGAACAGTCACTGATATTGTGTGGGATTCCTTCTTAAATGCTAAATCAATGTGCTCTATCTTAACTAGAAAGAAATTACATTAACTCTTCCTTAGGACGTCACAGGGGTGACTCCACAGAAATAGTGTAAAATAAACAAAAGGGACTGATTCCTCCATAAGACAAAGGACTTCGTACGTCTCAGAAATATTAGCCATTTTAATCAGTTAGCACTGCTCTAGGTAGAGCAGCATTGTTTTCCTTTTTTACCTTTCCCAGATACTCAGAAACTGCTTTCCCAGGACAAAGGGAAAGGAGCACTGTGACAATTACCCTCTCTCATGTTTGTGAAAAAGACGGCAAGGTAAGTAGAAAAAGTAAAGGGCTATAAAGTCAGAGCTTGGTCCTCTGCCATACACTGCCAGTAGCTATGGCTTAGGGTCACTTGAGTCCCCTGGGACCACTGTTTACCCATGGATACTATTAGGTCATTCTGAAGACAGCTCCACCCTTAGAAAAAAAATTTTTTTTTAAATTTTCTTAAACTTTGAATTTTTAAATATAAGCAAATTATCTGACTTTAATGTTCTACTCCTATATTTCTAAGCACAATGGTGTCCACAACTTACCTTTCCAGTTTTTGCTGCAGGACTTTTACTTCCTCCTTCAACTTTCGAATACACTCTCTCTTACTTCGAACAAGCTCTTTGCTTCTGTACATATATCTAAGCAAGTAAGCCCAAAAACACAATTTATATTTAAAAACGTTAATGACACAAAGTCTCCGCAAACTAGGGATACAAGGAAACTCCCTCAATTAGACAAAGGGCATTTGTGAAAACACAGTTAATATCGTACTTAATGGTGAAGACTAAAAGCTCTCCCCTTGGAGAGAACAAGGTAAAAAACACACAATTACAATAAAATTAAATATGAATTTAGGGATAAACATTAGATATGTGCAAGACCTGTACACTAAAAATAAAACACTATTGAGAGAAATTCACAAAGAATTAAATAAGTGGAGCTATACTATGTTCATAGATTGAAGGACTAGAAACTGTTAAGTCAGTTTACCCCAAATTCATCTAGACATTCAATGCAATCTCAATCAAAATCCCAATCACTATTAGGTGGAAACTGACAAGCTGATTCTAATATTTATATAGAAATGCAAAGGACCAGGATAATAAAAACAATTTTGAAAAAAGAAAACAAAGTTGGAGAACTTACACTGAGGTCAAGATTTATAATAAAGCCACAGTAATCAAGACAATGTGGCAGTGGCATAAGATTAGAAAATAGAACAGAGACTAAGAAATAGACCTACAAATATAGGTTTAATTAATTTTGACAAAAGTATCAAGGTTATTCAGTGGGGGAAAGGCGTGTCTTTTCAACAAATGGTGCTAGACTAATTGGACAGCCACGCACCATATTTCCCCCTCCTGTAAAAACAACAACAAAAAATAACCTTTTATCTCACACTATATATAAATATAAACTCTAACAGGGTCATAGATATGAATCTAAGAGTTAATATTACAGAATTTTTAGGAAAAAAATAGAAATAAATCTTTGTGACCTTGGCTTGGCAAAAATTTTCTTAATTAGAATATAAAAAACACAAACTATAAAAGAAAAACTGATACATTACACTTCACAACTAAAACTCCTGCTCTTCTAAAAGCACTGGAAGAAAATGAAAGAGACAGGCAGATGGGAAATATTTGGATTTATATCTAAAATATATAAAAAACCTTTTAAAACTCAGTATGAACACAACAACCCAGTTAAAAAAGTGGACAAAAGGTTTGAATAGACATTTCACCAAAAAAAATATACAAATGACCATTAATTGAGTACATAAAAAGTTGCTCAATGTCATTAGTTATCAGGGAAACAAATTTAAAAAAATAAGATAGTCTTACAAACCCACTATAATGGCTAAAATTAATTCCACATATTGGCGAGGATTTGGAGCAAATGGAGCTGGTAGAAATGCAAAATTGTGTGGCCACTTTAGAAAACAGTTTGGAAAATTCTTATAAAGTTAAACATACATTTTTCATACAACCCAGCAATCTCACTCCTGGGTATTTTACATGGAAGCACTGAAACCCACACCAAGACTTTTAAGTAAATGTTCACAGCAACTTTACTCATAATAGACTAAAAGTAGATACATCTGAAATGCCCACCAACTGGTGAATACTGTGGCACATCCACAGAATGAAATGCTACTCAGTAATATTAGGGAACAAATCACTGATACATGTAACATGGATGAACTCCAAATTCAAAATCATAAATGAAAGAAGAGAGTATTAGGTACATACTAAATATTAATGTTCCTAATTATAACATCCTAGAAATGCGTAACTAAAGGGCCAGAAAACAAGTGGTGGGGGAAGGGACTGACTGCAAAGGGGCACAAGGTAACCCTCTGGGTGATGGAATGTTCTGCATCTTGACTGTGACGATGGTTACTTGGCTGTAGGTATACATTTGTCAAAGCTCTTTGGCTGTACACCTTTGGCTGTAACCTTTTTCATATGTAAACTATACATCAATAAACCAGACTAGAAAGAAATACACTGTGGTTTCTCCATGTACTGTTCTTCACCTAAAGCCCAGATCCTCAAATTGTAGTCCAGAGATCAGAAGCGCTATTAGCATCATCCTGAGAGCTTTTTGGAAGTGCAAACTCTTCGGTCCCAACCTAGACCCACTAAATCCAAATTTGCAGGTGATTCGTATGCACAATATACTTAGTATGGGCTCACTTCTGCTGTAAAATATCTTAAGACAATCAAACACAGAACTCACCTGTCCATATAAATGATCTGAGGAAACTCCAGCTTATTGTGAATTTTCTCTGGCTGACCAAGAGACTGATTGAACTCAAATCTTGAGAGTTCAAAGGTCAACACTGGAGGTAGTTTTGTAAACCAACACTATGTCAGGAGTAAAAATGTGGGAGAAAGAAGTTATTTTTAGGAAATGGCAATAGCCAGATTTAAAATATGCCTCATCGAACTTGTTCTTTTGAATTTATATTCAAATCTAACTCATACTACAGCTTTTGTTTACTCTCAAATCCTAAAGGAAATGACCCCTTAGAATCATGCCCTCGCTGAAAATATGGTTAAGCATTCCTCAATACTCCAGCTCAACTATCATCCTCAGAAATAACTGCCCTTAAATATGTGAACTGCACCAAGCACCTGTGCAACTCATTTATTAAGCCATCAGGACTCAAAAGAGATTTAAAACCTGAAGAAAATGGTAGCCTAACCAAAGAATTAGAAATTATGACCTAAGCAGTATATAAGTAAGGAAACAACTGTCTCCACGAATCAGTGAAAAAGACTAATATGTGTACATATGTTATGTACTATTTATTTATAGTCTATTAACCATAATTTGAATACCCTTTATGTCTAAAAAGGAAACCTAAAATAGCCTCATGATTATGAGTTCTCAAATTTCTGAGAAAATCTCTCAATTCCAACAATTTATAGACATCTTCTAAGGGACCCAGACATCTGAGCCTATAATGTTGAGTTTCAAGAAAAGAAAGCCCTGACTTATAAAAAGACCTCAACTGTCACTGATCATAGATGAGGAAAAACTAGACCAGGAAAGGCATTTCTGTTCAGTTCACCTGTAGGCCAGAGGTCTGTGTGACAGCTTTAAAATGTTCTCTTTACCAAAGGTAAAAACAGCTGTTCCCTTCACATACCCTGTCGCCACAAGGGAAATCCAGATAGCCTGTCTGACTACCTCAGGGCAAAATCTAAACAAGCATAATGATTTCCTTTATATATATAAAGAGATCCCATCCTTGAATAAAGGTCTCCAGAGGGCTAAGTAGCTAATGAGCATCCCCTCTCTTTTGTGAGCACACTCATCAGCTCTGCACAGCTCCGCACAATCAGGAATTAGTACCGTCCTTGAAAAGCTAGGGAGGCAGCTCCTCTCTCCCAGTCAAGCCCTGTTCTACTGCTAATGCACTCTCACAAGGCTCATGTTATGCTCCCTAGTTTAATTCAAGAAAGCTTTTCTTTCTCCTACAGTAATTACTGAATTGGACTCATCGTTTAAGCCACAATTTTATCTCAAAATGTATGATTAAAAGAGAGTAATCTAAGCAGTGTGGTTTGCCAATAATGCCACTACAAATGCAATGCACTAACTCTTAACCCAGCTGAAATGCTGAGATATTCATTACCCTTGCTCTCCCTTTAATGTCTCCCTTTCTTTCCAACCCACAAAAATAAATAAATGAATACAAAATTTTTTTAAAAATTAAAGCAAAGGCAGAAGTTACAATGGAAAACAGTAAGTACTATAATAGGGAAAATATTCTAAATAGCATACCATAGGAGTTAATCACTGTACTTTTACCCTCCGAAAATATGGAGGCAGTGGGCTCTCCCTATTCAGGTACAGGTAGGCTTCAACAGAAAGAGAGAAACTTGATCACGTTTGAAACATCAGAAGCAGCACACAACCTTTATATGACTGATAACTCAAACTCCAGATTCATACTTTCAGTAAAGAAGTTATCAAACAGTAAGACTCACTAACTCGTATCAACTCATGAGACTTCAAACGAGTTCAAACTCTACTAAGTGTAAAGTTATGTAATGGGAAAACAATTGGCCAAAAAGCTCAGTCTACTAAACTGGCTTTGTGGCTGGCACACCAAATAAAAGTATCCAACTCACCTCTTGTCCATACTTCACCGAATTATCAGAAGGAAGAAGCTCAATGTCACCCTCCACCATGGCCCCTTCCAAGCATTCGTCTAAGTTGCGATAACCATTTACCTGAAGGGGATACTGGCCGAAGGTCTCATTGTTACAAAAGGGCTTTCCTAGACACAAAGAGACAGATTGATTTTTAAAAAACATCACTACCAAAGCGCCTTTTTTTTGATACCAAAGAGACCATGTCTTCTTAGTTCAGCCACATCCTAAGAGCTGACCTGCAGTGCACTTAAGGTTGTATGGCAACCACTCATGAACCAGTGGATCCAGGCCCTGATCACTGACAACTGCTAACACTACAAGAAGAAACGCAATCAGACAATAAATACCTCCTGACCAAGACTATCCCACCATCTGAGAGGCTGTCTTGCCTAAAAAAGCCTTACCTCCAGGCAGTCAAATACTAGATTCAACTAGCAATTTATAAAAAGAGGAGTAGAGGAATATGTTAAACTCTACCATGGATGTGCAAGCAGCAAAATTTCAGAGTATGGGGAAGACAAATACTAGAGAACAAACAAGCAATGTCTTAAAAATATATATTTCAAGAAAAAAAGATTGGCGGAGGAGGGAGAGTCTACAGATTTTGAAAAGAGACTTAAAAGATATCAACCAATCATAAATACACTACATTTGGATCCTAATTAAAAGAAACTGTAAAAATAAACACACTCTGCCTGCATATATAATTATACAACAAGTTAACAATTTGAACACTGACTAGGTATTTTATATAAGAAGCGCTACTTTTTTTTGGAATGATAGTGATATTGGATTGTTTTAAAAAGAATGTCAGAGGGGTAAGAGTAGACAGAGGTTACATGGGGAATGCCTGCCATAGCCTAATCGTTGCTGAGTTCATGGAGATTTTTATACTGGTCTATTTGTATGTGTTCAAAATTCTCTAGAGCTGAAAAAAAGAAAAAAAATCTCATGTATCCAACATGCAGCTTCCATAGTAGATAAACATTTTGGCAGAGTCTAACAAACTTTTTGAGATTAGATATTACACTGGAAAGAACAACAGGCAACTGAGTAACATCACTGTGCATCTAAAATTAATACTAAATTTGGGTAATGCAAATGTTATAAATTTAATATAACAACTCTGAGATAATGATCAGGCCCATCTTTTTTTATTTTTATTGATTGATTTTACAGAGAGGAAGGCGGGGGGAGAGAGAAGACATGGATTTGTTGTTCCACTTATTTATGCATTCATTGGTTGCTGCTTATATGTGCCCTAACCAGGAATCAAACCCACAACCTTGGTGTATGGAGAAGACATTCTAACCAACAGAACTACCTAATTGGGCCCATCTTATAAATAAAGAACCCGAGGATCCAGGAGCTCACATAATTTGTCCATGATTATACAGATACTAAGAGGCAGAACCAACATCCGGGCCTGCATTTGTCTGACTCCCAAGCCTTTTCACTACACTGCCTCATGAAATGGACACAGTAATACAGATTTGGTCATAGGACAGCAGAGAATTTACCTTCACGAACCCCTTCAGTGAGGAAAGTACCGTAGAATAGCTGCACCATTGGATTTTCAGATTTGTTCTTGGGATTGCTGCTTTTAAAAAAAAGAGACAACTCTGATCATTTGGATCAGATAAGCACTACACTAAACCCAACCATCATTCAAAAGCAAAAACACTACATTTTCATTAAACAAAGAGGCAGAGACGGTCTAAAACAAGTAATGGATTATTTCAGTCCAAACATTCACTGAACAAGTATATGCTAAAATCAGAAGGACAATATAGCATGATCCCTGGCTTAAGGGGCCGAAAGTCTAACATGCATCTGTAAACATTTGATACATATGTAGAGACAGAAACAGAGATAGAGACAAAGACAGAGATAGAGACAGAGACAGAAATAGAGATACAGAGACAGAGATATATCTCCAAGGTATACAAGGTACAGAAGTAGTGCATAGATAAGAATGAGCCTTCCTGTGTAGTTCTGCAATTAAACAGAAGTTTTCCCAATGGCCAGTAGTAATGGAATGGAAATACAGTTGCTCTTGAACAACAAGGACATTACGGGCAAAGGTGAAATCCATGTATAACTCTGATTCTCCCAAACCCTAACTACTTATAGCCTACTGTTGACCTGAAGCTTTACTGCTAACATAAACAGTTGATTAACACATATTTTGTATGTTATGTATTATATACTATATTTTTATAATAAAGTAAGCTAAAGAAAAGAAAATGTTATTAAGAATATCATAACCCAGCTGGCATGGCCCAGCGGTAGAGCATTGACCTATGATCCAGGTGATCATGGTTCAATTCCCAGTCAGGGCACATGCCTGGGTTGCGGGCTTGATCTCTAGCAGGGGGCATGTAGGAGGCAGCCGATCAATGACGCTCTCATCGATGTTTCTATTTCTCCCCCTCCCTTCCTCTCTCTGAAATAAAATTTAAAAATTTTTTTAAAAAAAGAACTGTAGCTAAATTAAGGCTTTATGAATTAATAAAAAAGAAAAAAAAAAGAAAAGCATACATTTTCCACATTCATGACATACCTAACTTTTTCTTAATTTTTTTTGATATATCTAGGCTATGTGGTTTGTCTTAAGCTTTTTCAAATTGTTGCAAATCTCCAAAAATGTTTTCTAATATATTCACTGGAAAAAAAATTCATGTACACATGGACCTGCACAGTTCAAACCCATGTTGTTCTAGGGTCAACTGTAGTTTATATTTACAAGCCTATCTTAAATTGTTATTAACTATGTACGTTTTCCATTTGCAAAGCTGTTTTATGATATACATTTCCTCTACCCAAAGTTACAACAATTTAGAAAAGAAATTCCTCAGCACCTGTATTGAGTGATGGATACCTGTATCTTTGCCCTGAATTTCACTTTTGCTAGTGACTGATATGACAAAAGGCTGTTTTCTAACATTCTACATAGATTTCACCAGTTGTCTGAGATTAAATTTAATGATCCAGATTATACCACCATGTTCACATCTGCGATTGATTTAACCTTTTAGCACATTTTACAGTACAGGCTATGGCTTTCACAGAGTTAACAGTTATGGCCCTTTTAGTAAAAACTTGTGGGTTAACATGATTATCAATATCCTCAAAGAGAAAAACCAAAGGCTATGGGGATACACAAATATATGAGTGGTTGCCCCATGAAGTCTGGTAAAAACCAGCAACTTGTACTTGAAATGAGTCCTGTTCCCCCTTAATCCTAATTCTCACTGGACCACTGTGAGCAGGAAGGATGTACAAAAAGACCCTCAACACTCACTTAGCATTAACAGCAAGCTGGAAAGCGTCCTCCAGCCAATCCAGGAGCTTGTGTGTGAATTCACTCACATCTTGCTGTAAGAGAGGTAACAAATTGCATAAGAGTTAGACTCCACACTATTCTCAGGAAAACAAACATTTGCTCTTATCCTACCAATGACTAAGATTCTATTACAATGAAAAGATTTCTACTTTAGGGCCAAATATCATGAAGATAAAGGAACACTGGAACCCAGGTACTACAGGTAAAAGAGAAGGCACGTTAGGCAACCTCTAAGTTGTGGCTAGGAGGAAACTGGAACTCTGCCACTTCCAGCCACATCTTCTTGTAACAAATAACAAACAAAATCTTCCCGTTAGGACTTTTTAAAAAGGTCCAAAGAACACACTGTAGTCCTCTAGAATTTAAGAGATCTGAATGGAGAAAGGAAACTTTTGTAAAATGTTTTGAGATACTGTAGAACTGTAGGACCTTTAGAGAAAAAAAAATTTTATGAGGAAGAAGCTGCTTTAATAGTGAGAGCTTTATTTTCTAAAAGGAGGCAGGGAAAAGAAGGTACTAACATCTAGAAGATCGCTCAGAGAAGCTGCTGAACTCAGGGTCTGCCAGTTTTAAAAACAAGATTTCTAGTTGGACCATCCCCAGCAAAGGTGCAGCAAAGGGCTTCACTTTTCTCAGTGACCCTTTGCTAGGACTCACTGGGCTCTTTTCCAATCTCCTCCTACTTCAACAGCCTCTGTATAATTCTATTTTTTCTACTACTACTTCTTACATTCAGAACTGCCAGTCTCCCCACCCCCCATAACACACACACACACACACACACACACACACACACTCTCCTTAGACATTAACTATACAGGGCAAAGGCAGACACCCATAGTCCTGCCTACTCATGTTCATAGTTTATTACACAGTTAAAAAAAGCAACATTACAGTAATGTTAGGCACGATTTCAAACTCCACAGAGCTTGAAGGAAAAGCTGTGAAGAATAGGCTTCGTATACCTGCTGTTCCTCAGGTGATCGGAATGCTCCCTTTAAGAGATCTAGGGCTGCTGAAGGGTCTACAAATTTTCGATTTGATCCCATCATGAGAGCAAACAAATACTGAAGCTCTTGCATAAACATGATATTTCTCTTTTCCTGTAGAAAACACAGCAATGTATACTTTCACAACTTCTTACTTGGAAAATTAGAACATATACACAGAAAAGTTGTCAATGATCACTCCTTAATTTATATTTCCATAGATCTAGACCAGGGTCAGGCCTCAAACTCTGTTACAGGTACTCTGATAAGGTCTCTGTGGGGGATTACCCTAAACTGAAAGAATGTCTGTGCAGAAGAGAGATAATAGTGTCAGAAAAGCCAACATTCTTCTTTTCTGAAGCTGGGGCCCTCCCTCCAGCTAGGAAGATCTGTCACCCAGGAGAAATCCTGGGAAGGGTTGGATCACTGGTGGGAGGCTTCGTCCTTTGGTGAGAAACTACTAAAGCCTCTTTTTTATTTTTTTGTTAATCCTCACCTGGGGATATTTTTTCCATTGTTTTATAGAGAGAGTGGAAGTGGGGCAGGGGGGAGAAACATCGATGTGAGAAAGACACATTGACTGGTTGCCTCCTGGACACATTCTGACTAGGGCCAGGGATCATCCTGCAACTCAGGTACCTGCCCTTGACCAGGAATCGAACCCTCGACCCTTTCGGCTCCCAGGCGGACACTCTAACCACTGAGCCACACCGGCCAGGGCTAACGCCTCTCCTAAGGCACAGACCTCCAGCACCAGGCTGCCTACTCTGACTCGCTAGGTCTGGATGGCTAAGGGAGCTCAATGCTCGCTGCCACAACAGAGCAGCGATTTCTGCGCCCACGTGCTGAGGTAGGCAAGCAACTCACCACTTTCTTAGAACTCTTTTTCTAATTTTATTCCCACTTAACTTTACATTTTTACAAACCCTTATTTCTTGTCACAAAGAAGGAAAAAGAGCCATTTGGAAGTGAAAACAATATTAACACAAGCCCAAGAGCATCAGTTATCAGCTTCAGCCAAAAAATTAAAAGCTTTGGGGATGAAAGGTACTAAACAGTGGATTCCTCAACAGCAACTTACGGTGTGACTGGGACAATTTTCAAGTACACTCTGTGGCAGACTGTAGCTCAGAACAAGTCTTCGAAATGCAGGCAATTGGAAGAGAGACTGAAATGAAGAGAGAAATGGATTGACAGCCTTTCTTTCAAAACAACTGCAGCAAGAAAATACTTCTCTTACCTTAAAAGTATGTATAACTGTCCACATAGTAATTTTACTTCTATTATGTCGAATGAAATAATGGGTATGCATAAAAATTGAGCTGAAAGAATGTTAACCCTCTTAGAAAAAAACAAAAAACAACCTAATGGCTAACCAGAGGAATAGATTAGATAAACTACAGTACATTTATACAATAGACCATTATATAACAGTACATTTCTACAATAGACTATTATGCAGTCATTAAAATACTTTTGTAGAAAAAATGTTTTCATAAAAATGGGCTCCATATAACAGTGAAAATGAATAATCAAGTTACATGAATCACCATGGATAAATCTCAGATATATATTTTGTGTGAATTAAAGTTACAGAAAAATAGAGTACTATATTGTTTCCATTAAGTATAATTATATGTGAAACAGTATTAGATATTGTTTAGGATTTACACATACATGGCTGTATCAGAGGGAAAGGAGGCGCTGACTGGGGATGGGAACAACAGAGACTGGACAGCACAGATTTGTTACATTTACCTCTGAGCGGGGCGTCGGGGGCAACACTGTTTGCCATTCTCCACTAATCCTAGTATCATTTTTTTTTTTAAATTAATAGCAGATATCTGGCTGGCAGAGTTAGAAGGATTACTTTGTTTTATAACCTATACATTTTTCTACTATGAGTATCTTTTGAAAGATAATGTTTTCAAATCAGTCATATGACTATGACTCCTTCTCCCCACTCCTCCTCCTCAAATGCAGCCCCTGCTCGAAGCTGCCGGGACTCGCCCACCAGGGGGAGGGGAGGACAGCTGCACCGGAGTATCAGCGCCCTGCCCTCTGCTTCCACCTCCACTGCCTCCCTCACACGCCCCCATTCCTTGCGGTTTCACTGCTGCTCTGCTCACCGCCCCCACTAACCTTTTCCAGGACTTCGGTTCTACCACGAGAAAATGGCTTTATAATTTCAGTCACGTCACTCCACCTCCTCACCTTCACCAAAATCGGGCTTCCCCCCAAATGCCACTGTAAACCACAATGGGTACCCCACTTCCCAACCCAACATGACACGATCCTCTGACGCCTGCTGCTCCTCCTGTATTTCTGTACCACTCAGTTACACCCTCATCCCCCAGGCGTCAAAGGTGAGAAACTCGGAATGGTCCTGGAACCCTTTCCTGTTCTTGGCCATCCCCAGCCTACACAGAAGGAGAGCCTGGACTCAGCCCCTGGGGTGCCACATACAACCACCTCCCTTTCGATGCTGCAGCCAAACTCCCACCGCTGCTCCTGGGGCACTGTCTCCAGAACGTCCCTGTGCCCATCACCCGCCACGCAGGTTCTCCCATCTTTCTCACGTGACCAAAATGAAGCTCCCGACTCACTCAAGACTAGTCTCTGGTAACGGTTCTTAGAATCCCAAATCCTGTCATTCTACTAGGTGACTTCAGTCAACATGCAACCCTTGGGACCTCCTGTGAGCTCCACCTCAGAATACAAGAATCTAACCTCTTTACTTCAGAGGCACTGGCCAGCTGCAGGCCACCACCTCGCTCTCGGACGACTGCAGTGGTCTCGATGGGTGTCCCTCATCCTTGCCCACTCCACCCGCTCTCACAGTAGCCAGGGTGCCTTCTAAAACTCAGTCAGAGTCCATCAGCCCTCTGATCAGAACCCTCGGTGACTCCCCTTCTCACTCAGAATGAGAGACAAGTTACCTCTCCAATTTCATCCCCAATGACTCTCCCATCTGTTCCTAGCACTCCTGCTACTCAGGACTCCTGGGTGCTCTGCGCACACACCAACCCCATGAACACACTCCCACTTCAAGGCATTGCTCCATGGTTCCCCCGACCTGGCATGTTCTTCCCCCGCATCTGCCCGACTCACTCCCTTGCTCCCCGGTTATCTGATACTTGCTCCAATCTCCTCTCCTGAGCCTGACAACATAGTTTACACTGCAACCTGCTCCTGGTCTCCTGCAACAATTGCAATCTCCCTTACCCTGCTGTTGTTCTATCACACTGGCCATAGTCTGACATAGTATATAAATTTATTTAAACCTTAATTCCATGAGGGCAAGGCTCTGTCTTGGTTGTGTTACTCCTGTATCTCAATGGCCTAGAGCAGCTCTAGACATACAGTAGGTGTTCAACTAGGATGTGCTGCGGGCACACACTCATCCACTTGGCCCAGGGACCAGTCTTCCTGAGCGTCTTCTCTAGGACACATTCCTCCAGTCCACCTCGATACCCTTACCTGAGGCCACACCCAGGCTATGCCAATACCTGAAAAAATGCCAATGCTCAAATCACAAATTCAGGAAATCCCACTCTTGAACCATAACCTGTCTTCTGGCTTATTTTTTCAACTACCCACAGGACACCTGTCTTTTCATTTCATCAGGAGCCCAAGGAAACTGACCACTTTCCTTTTCCCTCAATCATTAGTTCCTTCCTGTCTTCATTTTTCCCTTTCTAGCTTTGATACCCTTCATTAAATTCTTAAATTGCCCTTTTACCTTTCATCATACCCAGCAAATCCTCTAACCTAAATGAATTCAATTTTCTACTCAACAGTTTCAGAGTGCTGCTAAGAAGTCCCAACAAAAACAGGACATACTGATCTCACCATACATTCAAGGTCAACAACCTTAAAATTGTTAGAAATACTGCTTTGTATTCTGGTGCCAAATGGTTGCCCAATGTCTGCAAAAACTCTTTTAAACTTTCACTCCATTTAAAATCTGACTCTCCCCTTCCTCCGCCCAGGCTCAGAAAAGGGCTGCTTATTTCACAGGGGAAAAAAATGACTCTTAGAAACTCTATCAGCTTTAACTTGCAGTCATTTCTTCCTTGTACTTTCCCTACTACTCCCGCCCTTTCCCTCTCCGTCCCTGTATGTCCTATACCCTGTCCTCTCATGCTTTCTCAGAAACCTTACTCGGTTATCCCCTCTATCTGCTAGTTCTTTCCAGCATCTCTCACAGGAGCGGAGGTTGGGGGGCTGTGAACACAGGGAGGGTTCTCAGTCTCTCTCTCTCCCTCTAAGAACTGACTGATGGCCTTAATTCTACATTACCTCACTAAATCCTATTCTCAACACAGAGTCCAATAATCCTCTTAAATCGCAAGTAGGATCAAATCACTTCTCTGCTCCAAAGTCTCCAGTGCTTTCCCATCTCCTATATGATCCCTAAATCCTCACCGTGACCCCAAGCTCCTGCCCCTCCCCTCTGACCTCACTGCCATCGGTCCTCCTCTCCCCTACCACTGAGCTCTAGCCTTTCCGTTTCTCAACTCATTAAGCAAGCTCCAGAACCTGGGTTTTTTACTTGCTGTTCCCTCTGTCTACAATGTTTTTATGTAATTATATGAAATGGTCTTCATGTAATTATATGGCTCATGCCCTCGCCTAATGAAGGCCTCTGCTCAGATACCCACTTTATCAAAAAGGCCACACCTAACTACCCTATATAAACAGCAACCCTTCCCTCTGTAGCTGATCCCTCTCTGGGCCCCTTACTCCCATGCATTTGTCTTTATGGCACTTATCACCACCTGACACATACTTTGTTTACTGTCTGTGCCACTCCTTTCAAAGTAAACTCCATTGGAGTGAGGGTTATTTTATTCACTGTGGTTCCCCAGGGCTAAAGCCGTGCCAGACACAGGAGTCCACGGACTTTATGTGTGGGAAGGGAAGATCCCACTTCTGGCTGAGCAGCTGGGTGAGACTGCAGGGGAGGGATCAAGTGCCACACATGGCCATGTCGGGTGCAGATGCCTGAGAACTCTAGAGAGGCCACTCTCTCTAGGGGACTCATCCACTCCCTTGGCTTTATCAACACCCATTCTACTGATCCCCAGAACCATATCCACAGCCCAGATCTTTTCATTGAACTACAGATTCACAGAGTTTGTTGCCTACATGATACCTTCATGTGGCACCTCAAACTCAGCGAGTATAAAACTGAACTGATCCCAAAGGCCTGCCTCACAAAAATTAGATTTGAGGTGCTGGATTGCCAGGGCCACCCCCGGCATCTGAGTCCCTTTATCAGAGCAGGAGTTAGGCCATGTGACGGTTTGGGCTTGAAGGCCATGACCACCTCACAAACCTCACGGCTCCACTGTGTCAGGAAGTAGGAGGTTCCAGGAGTGCGACGGCAGCAGATGGTAGGCTGATGGCACATTTGCACACACACACCAGCAGCTGTCCAGGGAATGCATTGCTGGCTGACTTTTCAAATGGAACTGGAAGGGCCAGGGGGTGGCTCTGTGGCTTCCTGCTGGGTTTAGGTTAAAGCAAGCAGTCCACTGATAAATTAATCCTAAAAGTCACTTTGCAAAGTACTCCTGGATGGTCACACAGAAGCCTAAGGTGGCAGAGGAGTCCCTGCCTTCTGTGAGGTTTTCGTTGGAGATTCCTAGGGGGGAAATCTGCACATGTATGTCAGGGATGACAGGAAGCCCAGTCACGTCATCGAGAAAGAAGCCGAGCTGCTAACCTGGGGGCACCCAGTGGGAATGGGGCAGGCAAGGCCACCCACCTGCACGGCCAGCTGTCCGATGCTGGGCTCACATCACTTCAGTAAGAGGAAAACGGGGCCAAGTCCATCCCACTTCTCACATGAGGGGCTCCAAGACCATGATGGGGCCACAGCAAAGTCAGCCCCGGAGGGGTCACCTGGCTTCCCAAGGCTTCCTCAACCACCAGGGTTTGTTCTCTTAATCCCTCTGTATCACAGTATGTGACACATTTTCTTTCACCCACTCAATTCACTCACTTATCTGCTCAAGAAGCCCTGAGAGGTGAATTATACACTATCTCTGCCTTCAGGGAGCCCCCTGTACAGGACATGTGTTGCTTTTTTTTTATTTAGTATTTAGAAGTATTTTCAATGAAAAGAGCATTATACATGGATTCATAGAAGACAAAAAATTAAAATGAGGACTCTGGACTAGAGTGCCTTCAAGGTTCCTCTCTCATCCACAGTCTATAATACTTTAAGTGACAACCTATTCTATTATTTTTGTCACATATCTTGGCTCTGCCACCTAATAACTATTAGGAAAAAAAATGAACAGAAATCCCACCCTTAACACACACCTGAATTAGCCCCCCCGAAGTGCCAAGAGGCATCATCCACCTGGTTAGTCCAGCTAGAAACCTTGGGGATCTCCCTCCGCCCTCTCTTGCAAAGATCCTGAATCTAGTCACTTCACCAAATCCTTCAGAACTGATCTCCTAATACCTCCAGAATGCTTTAAGTCTGTTCCTCATGGCTTATGCCCCTTCTCTGTTGCAGACCACCATCATTACCTGCCTGGATATACAGGACGGCCTCCCAACAACTGGCTTCTCCTTACTAACTCTTGCTCTGCTACAACACAGGAGTCACTGAATGCTGATCCAAAACACCTACTCAAAATACTTACGACCACAGACACCAGAAGCATATAAACCCAGAACACAAGAAAGCAACCAAATACAGCAATGCCATGGGGAAACTCTCCAGTTTTATATATGTTTCCATTTTTTTTAGCTATGTTTCTCACATTTTGGTTTGGTAAATTATAATATTGTTTCCAGAAGACACAGTTGTCTCGTAAAAATATCATACCTGAATAACAGCACTAAACCAACATGTGTTGCCAACATTTTTCAGCCCAACTGGCCAACCATCGACTCGCCTCCAGTCGTTGGGATTGGGGTTTTCTCCCCAGACTTCACAGCGTTTCCTCTTTGAGCGTTTAGTTTCTGCAGAGGTTGCTTCGTGCATCCTGTATTGCACCAACATACCATACACCAGAAAAGGAAAAGTTAAAGAACAACATACTACATGGAAGATGCTGGTAACCTTTCATAGACAGTTCAAAAGGCCAGATAAACTATTCACTGGGGATCAATGGCTATACAGTAATTATAAAATTATAACCTAAGTGAAAAGTAAGGTTTAAACTTAGAGATATTAATCCTTCCATAACAGAGATTATTACTAATAAGGTGCCTGTTGGAACTGAATTGAGACTCAAGACTATTTATGGCTATCATATTAAAAGTTTTAGATTTCAACAACAGTGCCCTATCTCAGACCACATCATTGAAAGAGGCAAGAGAGACAACCTGCTAAAGAAAAGAGCCTCCTAACTGTCTAGCACACAAACCACAGACCTGGGTTTCCCTGAAAGAAACAACTCAACAGTATGTGGAAATAAACATATCTGGAAACTGACAGGCCACCACTGGACCTGGATATTTGTGGACAATTCCAGCCAATCACCAACTTAGTAGCAATTAAAAAACTATATTCCCTGTTCACTTCTGAAACAGGGTAGCTGGGTCCTTATTTCATTTTCAAAAGTCAATATAACCCTCAATGTTTACAAAGGCTCAAAGTTTATAAAGGGCATACATATTTATTGGATACTTGCACTAGGATGGGTTTTTCCCACCATCAATTAGCAATATGAACTATACATCCTGCAGGCTTCTACTCAAAGATCACAGGCTGCAATAAGACACTTACCATATTTGGCATTTTCAAAAGTGAACCAGAGTAAGTTAAATTTAGCAAATTTTCCTTAAAAAATTTAATTCAGGTGCAATTAAAGGAGCCTGGCAGAACTGTTCCTGAATGACACAGAGCTATTGCCTTTGACCTACACACTAATGTGGGGAGCAAAGATTATAAATTAAATCAATTACTTGTTAAGATCTCTTCCATCAGCTTGAACTTTGGGGGACTCCAGTAGACTCAAAGCAATGGCAGCCTGAAGATCATCTTTGTTTTCATGAGTAAGGTCTATTACTTCTGCAAGATACATTGAAATTTAATTAGTCTGCATGCAGGAAACATTGTCCTTCTGTCTGTATTGCAGGAAAAAGTGTAAAAGCATTCACAAAACTAGATATACACAAACTCGCACATGATTACAAATGCAAAAAACCTAAACAAAACACTAGCAAACAGAATCCTGCTAATGTACAAAAAAAGATTCTATATCAAGACCAAGTTGAGTTCACTGTAGGAAACATTGAGTTAACATTAGAAAACAGACCAGCGCCCGGCCAGACGTGGCTCAGCGGTTGAGCATCTACCTAGGATCCAGGCGACCGGGGTTCGATTCCCGGTCAGGGCATATGCCCAGGGTTGTGGGCTCGAGGCAGCCGATCAATGACTCTCTCATCATTGATGTTTCTATCTCTCTCTCCCTCTCCTTTCCTCTCTCTGAAATCAATAAACATATATTAAAAAAAAAAAAAAAGAAAAAGAAAACAGACCAGTAAAATTCATTATCTTAACAGTTAAAGGAAAAAATGATAACCTCGATACAGAAAAAGTAGTTGATAACATTCAACCTCTATTCAAGCATAAAAACTCCGAGATAACTGGAAAGAGAAGAAAGTATTCTTAGGCTGAGAAAGAGAATCCATGAAAAGCCCACAGCACACTTTATACTTAATGGTGAAATGTTAAACATATTTCCTTGAAAACCAACACTAAGACAAAGATGTCCACTTATCAAGGCTTTTGTTCACTATGGTTCTGAAAGTTCTGGTCAGTGCAATAAGAAAAGAAAAGAAAAAATAATTTTTAATATAAGAATTAGAAAATAAGAAAAAAGCTGTCATACTTCACAGGTAATGATCACCTACAAAATAATCAATAGAGAATAGTTATAATTAATAAAATGTGGTTAGATAATAGATCAATATACAAAAGTTAAGTGAATTTCTATACATGAGCAATGAAGGACATTTAATTTAAAAAGAAAAAAACAAAACTGTAGTAATCAAGACTGTGGGCTACTGGCATAAGGACAAACATACAGATCAATGGAACAGAATCAATGAACAGAAACAAACCTCACATTTATGGTCAATTGGTTTTCATCACAAGTACCAAGAGAATTAATAGAGAAAGACTATCTTTTCAACAAATGGTGCTGGGACAACTGGATATTCACATTCAAAAGAATGACTTTAAATCCCTACCTCACACCATTTACAAAAATGAACTTTGATTGTGCCCTCATGACAACAGCTAATATGATAAAACTCTTAGAAGAAAACACTGTAAATCTTTGTGATCTTGGATTGAGCAATGGCATCTTAGAGATGATATTCAAAGCACAAACCACCAAAGAAATAACAGATAAATCTGACATCAAAATTTTAAAAACCCCCACAAACCTTTGGGCTTCAGAGGACACCATCAAGAAAGTGAAGAAGAAAAAACAACCCACAGAATGGGAGAACATTTTTGCAAGTCATGCATCCAGTAAGGGACCTATATACAGACTTTTCTCTTTTCTGTATCAACTACCTGGAGAGTTTGTCCAGTCTCATACTTTACATACCATTTACAGGCTTATGATTCCAGGTTTTACCTATCTCCAGCTGAATCTCTCCCCTGAACTGCACACACGGATCTCCATTGCCTTTTGACACTACATCTGAATGTCTAACAGGCATCCCAAACTTAATATTGCCAAAACCCATTGCTTCATCTTCCACCCCAAATTTGCTCCATCTGTAGTTATTCCCTTGTCAGTTAAGTGCAACTCCATCTTTGCAGCTGCTTAGGAAAAAAACTCAGAGTCACCTTTAACTCCTCTTTCACAATCCTTGTCTCTGTAAGCAAAGCCCACACAGCAAGCACTTCTCGCCCTTCCACCACTACATCCCACTCCACCCAACACCATCTGCAATAGCCTCCTCACTGGTCCTTGGCTCCCTGCTCTGACCCATCTCAGAACCCACTCCCCCACACTCTGCTTTCAACACAGCAGTCAGAACAATCTTAGAAAATGGAAACAGTGTGCATCATTCCTCTGCTCCAGATTCTCCACTGGCTAGCCATCTAACTCAGAGGAAAGCCAAACACTTATGAAGGCTCTGCATGATCTGCTCCTGTTCCCTCCACAGCTTCATCCCTTCCTGCCCTCCTCACTCACTACGCCTCGGCTCTGGCCTCCTTGCTGCTCCTTAAGCAAACCGATGTATGTTCCCATCTTAAGGCCTCACGTGACTTACTCGCTCACCCCTTCCCACAAGGCTCATCCCAGTTTGAATCTAATCCTCAGAACTTCTTTTTTCATTCCACCCTGTACTTTTCCTCTATGGTACTTAGCATGTTCTAATATACTATATAATGTTCATTTCCCCTCAAAAAAATAAGCAACATGAAAGCAGGGATTCTTGTTTATTTTGTTCATCTTGTTTATTCTGTTCATCAGTGCCTAAAAGAGTGCTTGGCACATAGCAGGTGCTCGTTAAATAAGTGTCAATGAATGCATCTACGGAAAGTACTTACAATTGTGCCTGGCACATAGTAACGGTTTAATAATTAGCTATCATTACCATTATTTCCAAAGGGTTGATGTGAGTGATAGGAAACACACACTCATCTGTTATTTTTTGCTAGTTGAAGCAGGACTACAACAGGATGTACTTACTTGCTAATACTTCTTTGTTGGCAGCACTCCCCTCTACTTCAGATGGTTCTGTAGCAACAGTGTCTTGACTGGGCTCCTTCACTCTTTCATCTGTGAGAAGACTGACTGCCAGAGTGATGTCACCATTACTGGCCTAAGGAGAGGGAAAAAATAAAAACTTCAAAAGTAAAGCATCACAGAATTTAAAATAAGTAGCATATTAGTTTCTTGCTTGGTTACAACTCCTTAATACCCTGGTGACATACTTAGTAAGTCTAGGCGTAAGTCTAGGGTAGAACTGGGGGGGTGAGGGGGAGTACAGTGGATAGTAAGGCACTGTGCTTAAAACATGTACCAAACTCCTAGTTACACGAAAGGAGCTGCTATGCTCTGATTTACCACAAAATGCAAAACAGAATGAAATCTTGCTGGAGACTTGTTCTTACTGCCTTGGATGCTACTACCTCTGATTTCACAGAACAGCGAAGACATGATGTATCAAAAAGGGGGTTGGCAATTAACACAGACTCTAAATGAAGTCAGCCTCTAAAGTAAAAATGCTAAGCAGGTATATTCTGTAGTGGTGACCATACTTGTATTTGCTTTTAAATTTTTATTAGGAAAACTTTCTAACATTTACAATAGTAGAGGGAATGTATAATTGAACACATGTACCCATCACGCAGCTTCAACAGTTATCAAGGTGGTCGATCTTATTTTATCTATTCTGCCTACTCTCTCCCAGATATTTTGAAGCAAATCAGAAGTATCTTTTCAGTTCATCAGTTAACATTTCAGAATGTATCTTTTTAAAAATATAACCCCAATGCTATTATCACACCTGAAGAGTAAGCAACAACTTTTTAAGTAACAGATAACCATTTCAAACTTCCCTGGCTCAAGTATCTTTTCATTTGTCTGAGTCTGGATCCTTACAAAGTCTATACAATGCAACTGGTTGATGTTTCATAAATCTCTTTTACGCTATAGGGTTTCCCCCTACTATGAGTCTCTCCCATCCAACCCCCCTTATAATTTACATGTTGAAGATCCTGGGTTATTTGACCTGTAAAAGCTTCTGTCACTATATACACTTTCATTTTGGCATTAAGAGTTTGAATTGACACAACTACGACATGAACAACTGGTTTAAAGCCTATTGACTAATAGAAGCCTTGAAACTAACCTTCAGAGCTTCATGAAGGAAGGAAGGGTCCTGAATGCCCGTGATTTCTCTCAGCTGATTTAACAGCATTTGGCAGCTCTACATTTGAGAAACAAACAAACCAAAACAAAACATAGACAAATGTCAGTCAGAAAGTAAGCTGGGATACATTAAAGAATACAAGCATCAAAACTAAACAGGTCTGAGACTTGCATTTTTTACTTTAAAGAACTGACAACCTCAAAGCAACAAGGCATTGATGTTGTGGGGTCTGGTCTCCCATAATGTGCCCCCTGCCATGCAGGTTATCTTGAGCTGAAAACAATTACCACTTAACAAAACAGGAAAAGTTATCCCCCCTTTCCCACCTACTGAGATTCAAATGAAAACCCTGCTTCAGGAAGGGAACCTTAGCATAATCACCTTAGCAGACTCACTGGAGCACGTGAATTAAGTGCGGCCCATTGTTTCTGAGTCACCTAGTAAGAATCTGCTTGCCACTTTGTTGTATACCTGTGAATTGCGGATTTCCCCTCAGAAATCCCAGACTCCTCCTTTCTTGTCCAAACTGACAAATCTACCTCTTGTTGCCTCAGTCTTTGGAATTTTCATGTTTATGTGAATTCTTTGTGCGTACTTACTAAATCTGATCTTCTGTTAATCTGCTGTATGTCAGCTGAATTACTCAATCAGCCAGAAGAACTTAAGGGGTAGGTAAGTGGAAAGTGTCCCCAGCCCAACACTGTCAAGGCATATTCTGAAATGCCAAAGCTGATACTCTCTTGGACACTTCCTCATGGAAAATGTTTTTGGCTCGTGTAGAAGAACTATAAGTAAACAGTAAAACTGGAAGTACATAAAACATTTAAATGTAATATTCCAGCCCTAAGGGATGCGTCAAGGGCCTCCGGGTCTTTCTGGGAGTGGTACATAAGTACAGAGGTCACACATGGAGTGCAGGGAATGTGCACGGATGTGAAGATGTGCTATTTTAAGCTTCACTGTGCATGCCATTTGTATGTGTCATTTTTCACTAACAATAACTTTCCAATCATGTGATTAACAAATGATATCACCCACATCATATTTAAAACTTTAGGTTTAATTGCTTAAATGAAGAATAAAGCTAGAATTTTCTGAATTATAAATAAAATTCCAGGGAGAATACTCTATGGAATGTTTTCTCTTCACTGATTTAAATCATGGAAAAACCTATGTTGTGGTAACTTCCGGCTACCCCAAGATCCGTTTATAGCCCCTTTTCAGCCTTAACATCTTCACTGGAACATTTTATCCTGTTTTGCACAGAGACAAAAGTTAACACAAAACAACTATTTACAAGTAAGCTCAATTTAAATAATTGGCTGTCCAAATGAAGACAATGATCATTTAGATGAATATTGAAAACAAAATAATTGAAATTTAACTCACTGAGAAGCAATCTAGTTTATATCATTCCTAAGATTATCCCAGAATTAAGCCCAGACTCGTACTTACTGCTTCACCACTGACTGTCTTTCAGTTAGTAATACATCCCAAGAGGCACTGCGCTTTCACCGCCAGCTGTAACAGAAACAGGATCCTATGTTCCTCAACAGCTGCGGGCCCAGTGCAACACGTAAGAATCACACGACTAGAAATAACTAAACGCAACACCCCTGTAGTCAGTCTTTCTGTCCTAGTCCAGGTCACAGTCATAGGCTAGAAATGAAGCCTGACCCTGCTGAGACCAGCAGTCCTTGAGGCTGTGAGTCTTGTCCAAGAAAGTCATTGCCTGTGGACTGGGAGAGTGACTCTCAGACTAGCAGGTGTCCAGACTCAGCCTTGGCAAATGCCGAAAACAAAGCATGTGGATTTTCCAAAAATAAAATATTAAAAAGTTTTCTCCAAACTCTAATTCCATTTGATTTTATTAGGTAGAAGTATCTGAATCTCAATCATACACAATTTTCTAAGAATCAAAACCAATATACCCTGAAAAGAGGGGGAATAATTGGGAGGGAAATGAGTAGCACAAACCTAAATTAGAGCCAAGAAGGTAACAATGGGTGAGATAATCACATCTTTACTTCAAATGACTCTGTACATCAACTGATACCTGGTGTTCAGAGAAAATAATCCCAGTAAAAAATAATAAGTAACCCACGCTGCTTACCTTTAGCGAGGTGTTCTTCTGAACACTTCATGTGTATTAACTAATTTAACCCTCACCACAAACCTGAGATAGATATTATGCCCATTTGACAAAAAACTGAGGCACAGAGAGGTCAAATAACTTACACAAGGTTACTGCTAGTAAGGGGGGAAACTGAGATTTGACCCCAAGTTGCCTGATTCAAGTCTGCCCTCTAACCTCTGTGCACTGCTGTATCTGAGAAAAGAGGCAAGAACATCTATTTGATGCAAAACAACGCAAATATTTTATTCTTGTATTTTGACCTTGACCTCTGCATCTTAACAAGTTTCTTATTTTTTTTGCCTGCCTTTATATAATCACAACTTTGATTACTTAATAGTACAATCAGTACTAAACAAGTTATCATTAGGAAGACACTGTATTTGAGGTAAATACTATATTTGACTGCATCTAAAGTTTCATCAGTTATAAAAAGTACTTTACGCAGCACTAAGGAGAAAAACCATTGCCATTTAATTTATGATACAGTGCCTTCATGACAGTCCTAGGAGACACATGAATCAGTCACACCAGCTTCTTGTGGCTCTAAAATTTATTTATGTTGAGAAATATAGCCATTTCTCTTGCTTCCAGGTGCATAGCGTGGCATGTGATAGGCAATTCTTCTGTACCTTTCTCAGTAACAAATATACCTACGGCATCTTCCTTTCTTAGGTCCCATAAGGCACTTGATTGTAGCTTTGCAAGAAAATGTGAAACATTTTGTTTCATGTAAAATCAAATTTATATACTGTGATTCTGTTTCTGTGCCTTCATACAGTTTCCTTTTTCTATTTAAAGTTGAATCACAATGTGATCTCTTTAAAGACATTTTAAGTGGGAAGTAAACTAACTGTGTAGCACCCACAGTACATATAACTCAACTGTCGTGACACTAAGAATGGCTATGACCAAGCCTGTATGTGTGCAGACAATGATGACTATATCACATCTGGAAGACAGTAAATGTAAGAGCCCTCAATTTTAGAGATCTCAGAATGCCAAACAACTGCAAATCAATGACATACGGTACGCAAATATTAAATCACTTATTTTGTAATAGGTAGCAGTGGACCATCAATACATATAGCATAACACACTCAGGAAAGGAAAATACACTTAGTTTCCATTTTCTAAAGCTATTGGGCAGCGATGACAACTTTGTAAAATCATTTTGTACAGCTCTAAGAACAGTGTTCTACATGTCACCTCAAATCCAGATTCATCTTGCTATTACTCACAGACTATTACTTGGTTCTGCCCTTAACCTGCTCAACCTTTTCTACTACAGACCTACACAATTCCTTACTTCACAGACTCAGTTGAAGCATTATTTCTAGCATCCCTAGTAATACCTCCTACATTTGATTAAGCATAGAATGCTAACCTACAGTCAAGGGTTATATTCATCTTGAAAAAATATATATGTTTTTATTGATTTTAGAGAAAGAGGAAGGGAGAGAAAGAGAGACATCGATGTGAGAGAGAAACATCAATAGGTTGCCTCCCGCACACGCCCCGATCAGGGAGCAATCCCGAAACCTAGGTATGAGCCTGACTGGGAATCCAGCTGGCGGGCGACCTTTCAGTGCGCGGGATAAAGCTCCAGCCAACTGAGCCACACCAGCCAGGGCAAGGGTATTCCCTTGAACTCTCATCCTTACTATTTCTCCTCTTTCTAACTTCCACTGTTGAGGGAACAGATGAGTTTGTGAATGAATGAGACTATCTTTACCCAGTATTTCTCATCCTGTGGTTCTTTAATTGTTTTAAACATGATAAGACAAGAATTATACAACATATTTTCTAATTTGAATTATCCATAAGACAGTGCTCATAACAACTGTAACATTACTGAACACCTTTGTGTCAGCAACTTTAGGTGCTTCACATACACGTAACCTTATAATAACCATTAAAGGTAAGAATCATTATCTTCATTGTGGGAATTAGAAACTAAGGTTTACAAAACCTAATCTGTCATCAAATGTCTTGAATTAAAATATAACTATTAAGAGTTTGAATAACAAAGGATTAACCTATGCTGTTAATGCAAACAACTGCTATTACATGACTTGGTCTTAATAAATAGTCACCTAAACCTAAGTTCTCAAATAGTACCCACAACCAAAATCCTAATAAGTACTAAGTATCAAATGTTAATTTTACAGTAACAGACCAACTAAGATCACTAGGATCCTACTGTATTACTAACTCACAGTTTCTCCTGGGACTTCACAGGAAGCTGATTTAAATATTAACTTCACCACTACAAGGCTGCTATATATAGTACACACCCAACAAGGGACAAGACAGAGCCTGTGCCCCAGTCATAATCAAGCCAAATAACAGGCAAGAGCCAACAGGTTTGCATTTCCTTAGCTGAATTCACACTGTATTCATAAAACAAAAGTACTCTCTTTTCCTGCCCAGAGGCAGAGAAGAAAGAGGCACTGGAAAGGAGGAGCTCCAGCTCTCTGACCTTGGCTACTGGTGGTTTTGGCGTAACCCAGTTCACTCCTCAGGACTTAGGTATGCTTACAGCAACAACAGCAACTCATCCCATAATAAGCAGTAAACAGGATTAATCAGCAATAAAAACATTAAGCAACCAAGTTATTGTAATAAACAGTAACTGCCCTAATCCTACTGCAACTAATTAAAACTCTCTTTGATCAGTTGTGGCAAATTTGTGAGATTACGGAGTTTTATCTTTAAAATACCCAGTTTAGTATTGGGACAAGGGGCAGGGATGCTATTTTCATCACTCTGACACACATATTTCCTGATCTCAATTGTCTATTCTTATGAAGACATTTCTACACTTAAAGCTAAGTAAATATTGCCCGGGCTGGTGTGACTTACCAAAAGGTAGGGGGTTGGATTCGCAGTTAGGGCACAGGCAACCGATTGATGTCTCTCTCTCTCTCTTTCCCCTTCCTCTAAAACCAATTTAAAAAAACAACTAAGTAAATATTGATAAATGTTCCTTTACTCCAAAGAACTGCCAAGGTGTGACCAATAAAGTTCCCTCCAAAATTAAAGATTTGGTTTTCCAATTTTAAAATAAAACTTCAGTACCAAAAAAAAGCAAAGTAATAACTATAGGAGTCAAAGAAAATATATAGAAACAACTCCAGAAATCCAGTCTGGACAGCAGGGTCTTAATGCATGTTGAGACTAACACTAACCTTTCCAACTTCCACAAAACAAGAAGAGTCCACAAGAGCCGTGGTGCTTTTTCAGTTTTTCTTCCAGCAACAACTCTGTGTTGGTCCAATTTACTGATAAAGCAGAAACCTAACATATTAACAAATTACGAATTCTGAGATGGTCTAAATTAAAATCACAGCAGATGGAGAATGAGAGCCTGTTCATAGCTGTGGACCAGCCCTGACAAAAGACTGCTCAGGTTCCAGTGTATCTGTTGTAACTTGGGATTAATTTCCTGGTGGCTATAATCCACAAGAACAGACACTTCCTCCTTACAGCTCTGTTGCGCCCATCTCAGAATTAGCCCCTATCCCAGAATTAGCCTCTTTCACCTTCTCCCAGCCCCTTTGTCTGGAGCTAACATAAATCCTTTCTGAGAGGCTTACACTTCTCCCCACTCCCCCACTGATGTATAAAACAATGCAAAGCTCCAGGATGATGGACATGTGGTCCTCACCCAGCCATGCTGCTGTGGTTGGTTTAGACTCCACGACCCAACACCTGTCTTCTTCTTTATCTATTTACATTTTTTGGTTAGCAATGGTCTCATAAACTCTTTCGTTTAAAAAGACTTTTGGCAGTGGAAGTTAAGATTTTCTGTTTAACAGTGCCAGAAGGCTATGACTCTAAAAATGACTAATAGCAGTTTTTTGTGGGTACAACTAAATCCCGAAATAGGCTGCTCAATAACTTCTTTTAATGATGTAAAAACATCATTTGAAAACGACTGTTTCAGTTCATTAATTGGCTTAAAGTTTTAAAAAGCATTAAGAGCTTTTCAAATTTAGTCACTAATATGGTATAGAGGAGTTTAAGTTGGAATTAAAAGAAAAAAAGGAACTAATCATTATTTACTTTAAAATTTTCTCATCTCTTTTTCGCAAATGCACTGAGTAAGAAATTCCAACAGTACAAAAAGATATAAAATGAACAGGAAATTTCCCTCTTCTCCCCATCCCAGTCCCATTTCCCAGGAGTAACCACTATTAATAGTTTCTGATTTGTCTTGCCAGAATAGCCTATGCACATGAATATTATTTTCATACTAGCTATCATGTCCTGCACCTTGACGCCTTCTTACTTTAGAAGACATTATTAAGACAACACTTTCTCATTTCTTTGAATACATGACTGAACCAAATACAAATTAGGTTGGGAAGCAGTTACAATAAGGTCATACGAAATGCATCTTCAAAAGTTAAAAAAAATGCCATTGTTAGTAATATACTGTTAAGTTTGAGAAGCTAGGAAAATATGGGGAAAGACTTAAGAAATCAAGTTTACATGCTTATAGTTTTAGAAATCTAACAACAGTAAAATTTTAAGTTATTATTAGGTACGCCTCAGTGTGTAGTTTCTATTTTTGATAAATAACAGGGGCCAGAGAAGTGATGTGGGATTAGATTAGAAAAGGTGCTATACGTCAGGATGAGACTTGACCTGGTGAGCAATGGAAAATCATTACAGATTCCAAGGCACGGGAGACACTTCGGGGGGGCACCTTAAGGGAATTAATCTAGCACATGTGAACAACTAGTTCAATGTGGGTTGAGACTAGGGAAAGAAAGCTTAACTAGAGTTACAGGGCTATGGAATAAGCCAAGTGTGATGAGACAGCCAGGATGCTGGTAGGAGAAACAGAAAGGTAGGGTATACTCTGAGCATCTCAAGTATTAGTCAAATATTCGAATACGGATGCCTAAGAGAATGCTACTGCCAATGACGTAAAAGAAAAGCAGTAAGAAAACCAACCAGTATAATATACCACACTAATAGAATGAACAGGGAAAACATAAGATCATCCTGAATGATGCAGAAAAAGCATTTGACAAAAC